ATTTTACCTGTCATTCACACAATTCTTACCGAAGAGCTGCTGTCATCGATCTTTCACAAAATCTAATCAACACTATGGTTCAAGAATCGTTACAGTTTTGATTTCAATACGTGTAGCTCTGTGGCTTGACAAATGAACAACGGCTTAATTACCTCCACGATGAACTCTGTGATTGTTTCACTGCCTATCGGAGTCTTAATTCTTGAAGGAAGTATCGGTGCTTTCATCATTACACCAATAACCATGAATTCTAGGCTGGATAGGGTTTCGTAAAGATTATGTATCAGCACCAGAAAACAACTTCACCATGAGACCTAAAGGGCCTGAGTTCGAGCCTGGTTGGGTCAACCTTGCGGACGGCTGAGGATTTACCTACAGGGACGAAACAGATGTTCAATACACCTAGATTTTCAATGATCCTCTAACTGATTTCTGTCTTGATATCAATCAATATATTGTCAAAAATGCACTTATTCTGATTTATATTCACAGCCTGTTAATTCATCCGCTTTAAATATATCCATTATAACAGTAATTCAATTGAACACATTATACACATTGTTAATTCATCTCTTTATATTTTGCACTAATGATTATTTATTCTGATCAGTGGATATTGGTTGTTATTTGTGCAAAAGATAAATTTTATCGATTGATCGATCTAATGATTGATACTTTTAAGTTTAAAAGAGAAAGGGATCAATAACTGCATCATGTAATGTTGGCATCATGTTTATATATTCATATCAATAATAATAATAGTAACAACAATAGTAATAGTTGTAATGGTGGCAATAATAATAATAATAGTGTTTTCGTTTAAATGCCTTATTATTCATTTATATTCTTGTGGGTATTATGAACAAGTATAATTATTATGCTGCATTTAAAGTTTCACTTATTTCTTGAACAACACATACATGGATGACCTTAAAGTCTAATTTATTAATATCATGTAAATATATTAAAAAAAATTTTCTTATTCTTTTATCGATTACCACGTAAATGATGAACAAGTCTATTAGTGAATATCAGGTTCATTTCTATTCTTGTACATTGTTAAGTCTTTTGTCAGTAAAATTGGATTGTTTACCTGTATAATATGACACAGTTAAATTGAGGTGAGTCAATCATTGTAAGCTTGGTTAATTCCACGACAGCTGATGCTGAGTTGGATATGAAAAGTGACTGTTCTCCTTTACTACCTTTTACTTCACTGAGCCACAAAGATATCAGAAGACAAAAACCTATCTGCGATTATAAAGAAGACTGTTTATTCGACAAAAATGTATCATTTATATACAGTTTTCATGAACGTATAAAATCACTAGGTCATAAGTCAAATTATTATTATTATATATTATTAGTCCCTTGGGTTCCTAGTGGAACATAGGGCTTCAGTAGCACGTCTCCAGTGACCTCTGTTCTCTGAGATCTTTTGAACCTGATTCTACGACAGCCCACAAGCTCTCATTTCCTCCTCGCATGACCTCCTCCATGTCACCCTCGCCTCGGACACCCAACTCGTTGCTTCCCATGGGGATTCCACTCGAGCAACTGGCCTGACTTGTGATGTCCACAGTCGGCTTTCTCAGTGTATGCCCTATCCATCTCCACTTCCTTCCAGTGCATATTTGTTGGGTGGTAGGTTCATGGTTGGTTCGTTCCCAGAGCACCTTGTTGCTTATTCTTTCTGGCAATCCATCTGATCTTCAGTATCGAGCCAGTGTAGGCAGTTATTGATGAATGTCTGTAGTTTATTGGAAATCCGTTTCGTAACGCGCCAAGTCTCTGAACCACCATACAGAAGCACTGACTTGACTGGACTGGTGTTGAAAATCCGGATGTTGTTCCACATGCTGAGTGCAGAAAATCTCCACACTGGTTTCAGGCTAATGAACGCCTGTCTTGCTTTTCCGATTCTGACTGGCTTTGACATCCTCGTCTGTGCCCGTCCCGCCTGTAGTTGAAACAGTGCTTCCTAGATAGGTGAAGGAGGTTACTTCCTTTAAGTTTCTCGTGTTGATGGTGATTGGAGTTTGTTGTTGATGGTGGTGGTGGTGGTGTTGGTTGGGTATCTTCATCACCTCTGTCTTCTCTATATTCACCTGAAGTCCTGTTTTCGCTGCCTCACCTCTTCTGTCAACTTGTTAGTTTTCGCCTGTAGATCTTCAAGTTTGTGTGACATCAGACACAAGTCATCGTTGGCGAAATCCAAGTCTTCTAGGTTCTTTTCCGCAGTCCAGCTAGCGTATCCCCCTCTTCTCACAGCTCCCCACTGTTTGCTGTATGATCCAGTCGACCACAATCAAGAATATCATGGGGGATAGTAGGCAACCTTGTTTCACTCCTGTCTTCACTTCAAAAGCATCACTGAACTTCCCATTGTGAATTACTTGGCTGGCACGTGGCATCTTCAAATAGTTGTTGAATGAGGCTGATAAAGGTTTGCGGTACTCCGTAGTAATGAGGCAGTTTCCAAATTACTTGTCGGTCGACGCTGTCAAAGGCCTTCTCAAAGTCGATAAGGTTGAGGTAGAGAGCTGATTGCCATTCTGTGCTCTATTCTAAGTCAAATAGCTGCTTCTTATTGGTCAGCTGTGGGACAAAATTCTCCAATAAGGTTTTCCTTGACCTTGAAACAAAATGTTATTTTTCTGACTACAGATTGCTTACAATTATTGATTAACAAATATTGACATCGCTTTTAGATCACTAAATATGCACATTAATTATATTTAAATACGACTAGATACCCCTTGAAGGATGTTATTGTTGAAGAAACAAGTTATAGATTTGTGGGGATTTATTTATCGATTTCATGCTGGTTTTCATCTAGGACTGAAATCAGGTGAAGGATGATTAGAGAGTCCTGGCATGGGGCTCATCAGCAGTTCACTCTCATGACCCCAACAGGGATCTAACCCAGGACACTAAGGTTTCGCGGCCAACGCGTTACCATTGAGCCAATGGATCGAAATTCGTTCTTATACACTGAAGATTTTATTGTTTTCAGCCTTAAATTACACAAAAATCGATCTATTGTCGAAACAAAATATGTTGACATGTTGACTAACTTGACGATCAAGGATGTCCTACTGTGTTGATATTAAGATGTATAACTGATCCTTGAATGCACCAACTGTTGACGTAGACCTTCCTTCATATTAGAAGCATGCACTTGAGGCTGCAGATAGGGATACAGTATTGTCTACTGGATAACGTTTCAAGCTCAGTCTCTTTCGACTAGTCACTTCAAAGGTCACCATGAAACTTCTAACAACTGGTTTTTATATTTCCATCACTTGTCTTACCTTGGTTCAAGGGAAAACGGATTCCTTGTATATCAAGAACGTACGTTGCTCAATTTATTGTGCATATTTCTGGTGTTCAATAGATAAGATGAGATTCGTCAATCAATCCACTCCACTCTTTAAGGATTTATCTCCTATATCACCCTGTTTGTATGGTTTTCTTCATCCGCTGTTCTGGTGAAATGACTTATCCTCAATCGGCCAGTATTCTCGTGTAATTCGTTCCGGAGTATTTTGTGCTAGCATGAGTTTGTGATACTTTAGTGATGATGAATTCCCTGTCACCTGCAATCACATTACAAGTTCGGCGTATACTACAGAAAAGAATCCATTCAAGTAGTATGTATATACACTGGTGTTTTGATTCTGTGCTCTGGAGGATAGCCCTTAAGTAATAGTGTTCTTTTCGATGTTTTAATTGCTGTTACGGCTAACAAATCCTAAATTGAATGAAACTTGCTAACTGGATTCCACTGCACAAATTCCACAAATTTGAAAATCCCTGCGGTATCGAAGCATTCAATTCGAAGATCTACAGGCGAAAACCAACAAGTTGACACAAGAGACAGGGCTGCGTAAACTGGACTTCAAGTGAATGTAGAGAAGATGGAGGTGATAAAGATACCTAACCAACAACAACAACAAGCACCAGTCACCACGAACTTGAGAAATCTGAAGGAATTTGTCTCTTCCATCTACTTACCTACCTGGGCAGTATCGTTTCAACTACATGTTGCGGCTGCACAGATGAGGATGTCAAAGCCAGTCACGATCGGGAAGATAGCAGAATAGGCCTTTTTGCATTTATCTGAAATAATCAGTGTGTAGATCTACTGCACTCCACTCAGCATAAAGCATCAACAACATCAGGATTTTCAACACTAATGTCAGTCGAGTCAGTCAGTGCTTCTATGTGATGTTTGACAGAAATGGCGCGCTACGGAGAGCATTTCCAACAAACGACTGCAGACATATGTTATCAACAGCTGTCATGTACGCTCACTGGATACTGATGGTGAAGATTAGATGGTTATAATAATAGGAATAAGCCAGGAGGAACTCTGGTCTGTTCCAACTCACTGACGAAGCTGTCTAAAATCACAGTGGACTGTCGTCCACTAGGTAACTAATTTTACTGTACTCATTGCCATAAGCAATACAACACTAACCATCATTGAAAGTAAACCATAGTACCAATAACTTTCCCACCTGAATAAAATATATATAATCACTTTGTGAACTGAAGGTAATCACATGACTTTCATTATTTGTATCATAATACCTGGATATGGATTATTTTGTAAGAAATTCTATCAATCACGACCACACCTGCGTAGTCTTTGTAAAACAACCAACCAGAACAAGGTAGACTGAAAGAGCCAATCAGAGTCAAGGAGAAGAGAACTTTGCTGACTTGAAAAGTTTTCAATGAGTTTGCAAAGTGTTCACCACCGAAGGCGGTGGGTTCGAACCCTGGTTGAGTCGTCGGTGGGCATTGCTGTCCTGTACCAGGACAACTACCCAGTATTCCCAGGTTTTCAATAGTTCTCTAACTGGTCTAATTCCTTGGGAATCCTGTTGTTTATGTTTTACTAAATCTATCGCTATGGTAACATTGAGAATTCATACTCAGATATTGTTGATTTTCACTCTAACCAACGTTTTATTTATTCACTTTTCTTTCAGTACCTTGGTCCATGGCATGAAAACTTGCGTAGCAGTACCATGGCAACTGGTAGCAATCTTGGTGGTGGTGATTTTGAAAAACTTATGGAAGGAATCTCTGAAGCCAAGACTACTATTGATTTATTCTTGAACAATAGATTTGAAGAGGCCAAGAATCGTTTGCAGAAGAAGTAATCAGATTATTGTTTGACTAAATGTTCGCCTTCTTTTCTATCAAGTGCACAAGGTGGAATGTATCAAGAATTGGCCAATTCCACTGTACTTTTTATTCAAGGAATGGCTACCATTGAACAGGTGAGTGCGATACAACTAGAGGGGCACGAATGCCTAACATCCAGTGAAACCAAATCATAATTTAAGCCCGACTGAGTGACTTTAACCTAGCTGGCAATAGAATCAAGAACGAGTGTTTCGTCATATTTGGGCCTCTTCGGTTGCATGTACCTACACCCCAATGAGTGATATTGTTCCTATTAGGACTCGAGCGCAGTACCCACCACTTCAAACAACAAAAGCTAACTTTTGTGCAAGGGGTATCGTTTATAATGAGGTATCCAAATAGGATCTATTATGTGATATCGATAAAGAAGTAGTGGATACATATTACCACAGTGATCGACCTCATACTTCATCCTTCAGAGACCTAAACTTGATTACATAATCTTCACCATACAGCCCAAGCAAACAACCAATGACATCATGCATCACTAGCAACTCTTGGAGTAGTCATTCTTAAATATTTAACAGTTTAACTACTTTAGATAGCATTGTGCTTTGTCGTGGACAATTGGTAGGTATTTGTGAACTAAATATCAGCTATCTGAAAGTATCTATCTTTTTCTATCTAAAACTTCATTATGACCTTCACTTGAAGTATCTGAAGCCTACTGCCTAATATCAAGTAGACTCGAAGTCATCATTATTCTATAAAGTACTAAACAAACAGTCAGTTAACTCTTATAACTTAATTCTGAAGTTCACTTGCACTCACTTGTGCAACACGCTGGAAAATACTATCCAGCCTGGCTAGCAAAAGCAGAAGCAGAGCACATATTCAATTCTACAACAGAACACCATATAAATTCAGGCTATTCAACTGTTTATGAGAACCCTTTCGAAATTCTCGACAGTCCTCAATCAAGCCACTGAAAGACTGTGAGGTCAAGGCATTTGGATAGTGTTGAAGTACTAGTCATTTAGAAGTTGAGACCAACACTATTTGTATAATGTGACTTCCTTACATTGCCTTCTGATAGGAATGTTCACGAGTGTACAGCATAGTAAATGACTACACTGAAAAGAAATTATACACCTCGATGGAATCATGAGAACATTGAACCAGTGTTTTGTTTTACGCTAAGCAATGATATTGCCAAAAATCATTATCTTTTGAATATCCTTAGTTGGATTCTGAGTATTCTTCAAATTCATGTGAAACTTGGTAAATGTAAGATTTTACTTCATGAATAACCCATTGTGGATTTTGGCTTCAGGATGCATAATCCACTTCACACACTGGTGAAGTTGCACCAATCCTAATATGATGCATGCTGAAGAAGTTTCAGGCACGATCCAAAAGGTAGTCAGTGAATTGCATCATCTATGATATCTGAGAGATATTCAACTATCAGTGGATGAGTGCACTGTGTACAATTTGACTCTGTTAAAGCCGCTTAGGAAAACCGCAGACACGAAGACGTCAGAAGTTATTCATCATTAGTGACTTCGTGGTATTTCTGCATGTTACGTAACCACCATCTGAGCAGTGTTAGAGCTTAGCTTAACAAATAACCACTCTTCTCTTAGGCGACGCACAGTAGAGCAGCTAACCTTCAAGAGGTCGTGAGTCATTGCAGTTGTTACAAAAAGTTTTTCTACACGTCATTTGGTCGAGTTTTTTTTGCTGTAGGTGGGTACTTGAGTCTATCAACCTTCCAAGTTTACAAGGTTTACTAATCTGAAGCAGATTTTATGTTGGCTTCACGGGGGGGGGGGTATCTTCTTGATGCGAACATCTAGCATATTTGTAAAAATGTGCTAGTTGCAGTTTCATCCATTTAGTTGTGGACTACGATACTGAGACAGAATGAATTTTTATTGCATTCACTTTGAGGAAGATTGTCTTTTGCAAAGGAACTTGCTTACTTCAGTCAGTTAGGATTCAAGCTTGATGTATGTGTCTGTCACGTGAGCTGGACTTCTATTCACTTACCAGCTACCAAAAAGGCATGATGCCAAAATATTCAGAAACTCTTGAACTTGTTCTGTAGGTGGGAATCATCTCAATTGTGTAAAATTTATAGTTAGTGATGAGAAATGTCACTATGATCTCCTGTAGAATATGATCTGTTGGACACCGCTGTACCAAGTATACTATCGAGTAAAGTAAGTAGTACTGATTGGGTAAAATTTGGTTTCTTCAGCTGAATTAGTCCGAGTAGACCACCTATAAGCCTAATTGGAGTCTAAAACTGCCTTCATCTGAGTATCGAGTACTGTTGCATACTATTAACTACTTACATTAGTGAGTAGTATGTTTTCTCATACATCATCTTTGTTCTGACTGATAAATATGGTTAGTAAATGGTACAGTTTAATCGGTAGGCTAACACATCAATGACTCATTGAACTTTGAATTGAAGAAAACAAGCATATTCCAGCTTGAATTTTCACTTTTGTCCAAGTTCATTATCAGTTTCACCTCTTGGTAAACATTTTCTCTCATATAGTTTATAACTATAAAATAAAACATGAGAAAATTATATGGAATGTTGCTTAGCTTAAATCTATTGGAAATCAAAACTGTGAATTGTTTACTCCAGAGAATTAAAAGGCAAGTATGAACATGCCTTCTCATCTGTTGGAACAGTTGAAATGTCTGTAGTAGTTTACAATTCCAATTTTTAACGTCATAGGGTACAATTTCTCAATTTCATTACTATTGTTTGATGATTTTATCCTTTCTGTATGTTTACTTGTATGTTTCAATGATGATCAGGGCAATAAAAATAACAATAATGTAGATGATATTATCTCCAAATTTCAGGTTGGGTTTTTCTTCTCAGAACAGGAGGGTATTAATGTTTGTCGGGGATATTACAGTGTTGATATTTTGGAGGAAGCAAATGATAATGCTGTTTACATGCTAGTAACACTTATAATTTCAGGAGAATTCAAGATATACCAGTATCTTAGTAAGTGATGATGTTGACAATGGGATTCGAATGCAGCACTCGATTACAGCAGCCACTTCTCGTGGAAGTGATAAAAATCCTAAGGAAGTGATGATGACATGTTGGCTTAAACTCACATTATTGCTTGATAATCCCAAATATGTATCAAGGATATAAATTACTGATGAAATCAGAGATTATACAAGAAATAAGATACCACTTTAGGGTTTCTGATATGTGTCTACCTTTTTATTGCGCCGAACTGTATCCACCTATGTTTATATGCAAGCCTTAGTAATGCATGCATGTCAGTTGATAAACCTGAGTATTTTTAGTGTACCCTATAAGGTGGTAGAAAGCTTTATGCAGTCTAGGTTTTACTGTATGTCTTCATTCGTCAGTAAGGTATATCGCCGACCTCGAAGGTATTGATATCCCACCCGAGATTCGAACCCGTGTCACCTAATGTTAAGTTTCCTAGCTCGGTAGCAACATTACAAGGAAGTGACAACATTAGATTGGTTACTCTCTAATGAACAATCAATATTCCTATCAATCATGCCTAGAATAAAGCATGAAATTGATATGAGACTTGTGGTATCCCGTTCGAGATATTCCACTGGTCTACGAGTCGACTCAAAGGAAATCTGTTGAAAACCATATAAACTTTCCAACTTCAACTCATAGAACAACATAAAGCAATTTCGGACAAATTTCGATTGCTTATTTCAATTAACTAAATGCTACCTATGCTCATCAATGTACTCCTTAAAACTACTGATATATTGAAAGTGCAACGGAAAATTGATCTGAAAATCCCTCCCGATCACCCTCATTTGATTGTATTGACATTTATTTGAATATTTTTACCCTCGTTATGGATGGTGTACCTTTGACCCTAGCCGGTGTAATGTTATTTGCTTGTTTGACTGTCTTATTTGACTTTGCACTCGGTATTTGCCTTTGTATGTTTGAGACTTATAATGAATGTTTCACTTTCCTATTATGTGACGCTGGACTGTTGACAAGGTGATATTGTTTTACTGCGCCAGACATTTTGTTTTGGTTCAACTTACGGTTGTGCTGTGATTTGACTGTTTGTCTTTTGACTGTCTACTGGGAACGTTTGTTTGTTGATTTGATTCCTATAGGCAGAATTTTGATCTCTTTTGTCGGGAATATTCCTATTGACCGACAGGTACTTAACAGTTGTATTTGTTTAACCAGTTTTTACCGTGTAGTACGTATTTGCACCCGAGGACGTTTTGGACTGTAAAGTTACCCAACGGCACTGTTGAGGTATTTTTGTAATTTTGACATAACTTATTGTTGCTTTGATAGTACCACAGATTTTGTTACGAATCTACTATTGAATTACTACAAACCGTGTTTTGATATTTTGATCCAACCTTTGACTGTGCGTCACTCGCGGAAGTTAGGAAGATATACAGTAGAACGCAGGAACTAGTCAGATTCACGTCAGTTGGCACCGCCTAGTTATTTCCCGAGTTCAGGCCAAGATTATTGGATTCTGGCCGCTACAGAAAGGTGCTTTTGTGACGATCAAATACCGTGGACATAGGAATTTCGTGGTTCTCGGCAAATTTCTACTATTTAAATAGTGACAGAAAACTTTACTCGAAACTACCTATAATTCACAAATATGTCTGCTTCCGTAAAGAATATTTCATAGATTCGTCTCTTGGGATAGTTTTCTTTTCTTTACACATTGTCACAATGAATAATATGGACCAAACCTATGAGGTTATATGAACAATAAGTCGTTTTGCAGGTACTTCTAGTTCAAACAAGGATAAGTTCTCAAGTGTCTAAATTTGCTTTTTTTTTTAACGATTAAATTACCATTTAAAAATGCCAATTTTCTCATTGACGCGTTCAAGGTCACTTGGAGCTTGCTGAAGGCCACTAGAATTCTGTAATTTAATGTCATCATTAAGTGTTTGATGTAAATATCTACTTTTCCCTTACTATTATCATTTTTTAATAGGAAAATCTTGAGTTAGCAAAGGAAAATTTAAGGACAACTTTGAAGGCATGTACAGCAAATAGACGCAAAGCAGCCATCTCAGAAACATTTACAAAGCAAATAGATAAAAATCGTAATGCGATTTTCAATCTATACACTGATGGTAAGAATCTTTCTTATTTCCCTTACTTTATCTTTACGAAATTATTAAATTATCACTACCATCGAAGTTTCAAAGGGTATTTTTCGGCAATGTTTGAATGCTGGCGCTACTGTTGGATCAATCTTACACAAAAATGTCTCATAAGACATTGCAGTTTGTGATAATCAGTACAAAATACTACATTAAAGTTATGCTTGCGTGCTTTCCCCCCTATATATATGGTGGATATTCTTTCTTCCTCTCTTCTGAATCTTTACCAGCCGAATTTTATTCCTTTTTGGGGGTTTTACGACGTAACGGTGTATACTACTGATAGAAATTCTCACCAGTAATGTTGTCCTCAGTGTATGTAATGTATACTGAAGAGAAAAACCATGCATCATTATGTAAATTCATGTAGAATTCGGAGATTAGGGTTGCAATATCAGATTTTATTGTCTAAACAGGAATCCTACCAAACGAATTTGACTGGATGCTCTGGAAAGCCAGTCTCCGAACCTCACGGATCCAGTTTACGTAGCAACTTGGAAGGTGACAACGACGTATAGGTGAAGATTCAGGCAAAATGAGTACAGGTAGATCTAGCTGACTAGTGAGTCCCAAATAGGACGAAATGAAAATCCTGAATTCTCATTCCAAGCCATCAAGCAGATATCATCAGAATGAGTAGGCAGGCGGTATAGAGGCAACCAGATAGGAGCCCATCTAATAACAGAAGTCGAACAATTCAGCTCTATATGGCAATGGGAAATTACGAATATCAAACAGCTCTTAAAAATACTTTGAACTCTTATTTATCCATTCATCTTAACTCCAAGATTCAGGGCAGCCTTCAAACCTTGTGGATCCATCCCTTGGACAAGCGGAAAACAGCCGAGCAATTCAACAAGGCATTGCCAAAGCATTCTGTTAACTCCCTCTCATGTTGATCAGTGTGATCCAAGGCTCCTCACAACTGTATGGCTTCAGCTCATCCATATTCACCCGGTAGTCGGTTTTTTGACGTGCTTAAGACATGTTCTACTGAAGTCTCTTCAACCTTACAGACCTAAGTACAGCTCACCTTGCTGAAATGACATTTCTCGGAGAGACCTGTTTAATGAATTCATTACACCGACAGATTAGCAGTGGAGTCTCCTTTCGGGTTATGGATATACAGCCGAGATTATGATTGACACCGGTATTTCGGACAGAATATCTCTCGGCATCCCCAGGCAAGACTCCACCCTTCTCTGGGACTTGCTTCAACTAAAATGACTGCCAGGATTAGGAAGCTGGATTCAGCTCATCTTCCGGTGATATTACTCCCAGTGCATCGGACAGAGTCCTGAAGACTAGTGAAATCAGTCGTGTTCTGGGAACCCACGCCGCCAATTTTCCCTGTATGGATCTCATCGACCACAGTTTTTGCCAACTCAAATTGACAGTATAATGGTTAGTGTCTAGCGAGGCAACTAGGAGACTTACCGTCGTATGCAGCTAGCCTCAACCCGTAATCCCTAGTGCACAAAACATCCCTGGCTTTCAAGCGCCAACAACACCGACTGAGTATGAATTAACTGTTCTGTGTAAAGCATCTTCACCTTGACGCCTTGGGGAGAACGCATTCGAACTTCTTCATCTGTATCGGATTTGCAGATCATCTTTCTCTGTATGTAGAATGTGTTCTAGCCTGTATTCAGTTGTATTCTACTGAACTTATTTCATCTTTTTATACTAGAATAGTACGAAAGACGTTTTTCATTTTTAAAAAAGTGGATTGTCTGTTTTTCTATATACCTCAACTGAATTTCAAGCGTTGGAGTATAAATTATACATCCCTAAAGTTACTTTAATCCAAAAGGAGCTTGTTAGCCATTTTACGCGCTTGCATATATTATAGTAATGATGGATAATATCTAGCAGTGGAATCCAGGATGCACATTTTGTCCTATTTGAGACCCGTCAGCTGGATGTACATGCAACTCAGTGTGGAGTGATGTTCTTCCAACTGGAATTCAGACTCGGAAGCGTTCGCTTCAAACGCCAGAGCGTTATCCACTACACTACAGAGCCACTATAACCACCTCTTGTGCAAACGCTATGATTTGGTATAATTGCTTGTATTACACCATCGTTGATTGGACCGAATTGATCGGTCTCTTTGAGTATATGGGCACTTGTGCAGATGCCTCGATATTTCCTGTGTTTTGATGATGTATAGTAATAATGTATAGTAGCTAGTATTGGAATCCAGGATGCGCATTTCGTCCTATTTATCAAATATATTGGATATAATTTGTTTATTAGGATAGCCCAGTGTCTGGCTGTAGCATCGTTTGGTGAGAGCTCTCGTACCAATAAGGTTGGTCAGGGCTTTATGACAATCCAGACACACAATCAAACAAGAAAATACGGTGAAACACAGTATCGTTTACATAGTCCAGTTGTGCGTAGGGTCAGTCTAGGCTTGGAGAGTCTAGTGGTTGTCCTTGACTTTACCAATGAGTAACTCAGGCTCGAATCCCTTGGAGGACACCACTTTTAGATAGGTTTTAGATAGGCTGTGCTGATAAATACCCAAAGGTATGATCATGGCTTCCTGTTAACGTCGTTTTGGGTGTGTTGACCATACATTTACCGTCCGCCAAGTATTGAAACAAAGATGGACTCGTCAGCCCCGTACACTGACCGTATTTCACATCCATAACTCACATTGAATTTGGACGACAGAAAGGTGTAATGGCAGTGTCTCTTGCTGGAAGCGGTCCGGTGGAAGTACATCATCCTGTTTGAGGCTGTTTACTCGAACATTGTATGATAAGCTATGAGGTGAGTTGTGTACGTTAAGTGGCGTCCATTAAGGATTCCTGCTATCTCTATTCTTATTCAACTTCATCATTAACATACTTATGGAGGTCTCCCTCTCATCCCTTGGTTCTATGGTCATTAACTTTGTTGCAGAAGACACTGTTTGCAGGTGATGTAACAAGATGCAGAGTCTTATGAACATCTTCATCGGCAATATGGGTATGTTTGAGATGCGTCTCCGACTAACCAAATGAAAATTGTTTCTACAGGACTGGTCCATGTTTGTACCTCGTGTAACAATAGGAAACAAGTCATTGAATGCGCTGACCACTCCACTTACCAGAGAATTTGAATCAGCCTTTGTGGGTCAATGATCCATGAAATCTCTACACAGATACGAAATGCTCGTTTGGTGTTCGTCGACTTACAATATTTATATCGCCGCTGAAATATTTGGTTGTCTATTAAGGGTTGAGCGTATTACACTGCACTTTGCTCTACTGTATGGATGTGAGAACATGGACATTAAAAGTGAAAGATATTAGAAGGTTTCAGATGTTTGACTCCCTTTGCCTTTGTAGCGTAAGTCTGCGTGTTCCTTGATGCTTTCACTTCAGTAAAGTAGAAGTAGAGCTTTGCTAAGGGAGGAAGGTCAATTTATACAGTTATGAACCTTCATCTACTGAGTTGGCTCTAATATGTGCTGTGCATGCATAGTCACCGCCTTCACTGGTCGCACAAAGTTAGCTGAATTAATGTTAGGTTAGAGAAATGTAAGGAGGTGCCAGACTATGATGTGGTATCACTGCATGAAATGTATGACTGTTGATGTCCGTCTCATAGGAGGATCTACTTGACAACAGGAACCAGTGATTGAAGACTCTAGATTATATAATAATAATAATAATAATAATAATAATAATAATATTAATAATAATAGCTTTATTCTGAAAGTTATTTCAGGAATACTCTGCAGAATTTTCAGTATATCCTATAGCATCAATCGCGTGGAGGCAGTGAATATGTATACAAAACAAAATGAACATAATTAGAAATTACATGAGGAAAAGATAAAAATATTCACTCTATCTACAACTTTCTTCAAAATCTTCAGTCCGTTTAGGTATACAATCACATCAGCAACTTGGTTTGTAATATGTGAAAAGTAACACTCTAATTTTCAGTTAGTTTGCTTTCAAAAACAGAAGTTGATTAGTTAGTTCATTTCTAATACTTTCTTCACCACACAACAGACGAGCTAAACACCTACGGTACTGTATAGTTTTTATATGATCTTATGTAATTTCTCCTCATGTTTCCAGATGACCGACACGTAGAGAGCTTCGAGTGAAGAGAATGTTGGTCATCTGATAAAATAACTCCTGCCAGATGTTTACACAAGTTAATATGTCTGCCTACAACAGTTTTAACTGAAAGGTCAAAGGGTACATCACTAGTTCTGCCGACTATCTTCAAAGCTCTATGCAATATAACATGGTCTTTTTTTCAGCAACCCAGGGAAAAATAAAGGGGAGCAATAGAGGAGGCAGGAGTTTATAAGACACAGGACAAGAGGCCGAGTAATACCAGATACTCTCAGCTTCCTAATATAGAAGGTTAGGCGGAAAATTCTTTTAGAAACTAGTGAGACATGGGAAGACCAGGAAGGGTCCGAAGAAAAACAGACACCGAGATAAATCACATTTTTAACATTCTCTAATGCACAACTATCAATAGAACAGTAATCATGAGAACTAGGCAGTTTACACAAGTCATGTTCACGTCTAAAACCAAAGTTTATGGTCTGACATTTTGAAGAATTAAGCATAAGACCATTCTCGAAGGACCATCGTGTAATAGTCGATAGGAAGTCATTCAGTTGGGAGTAATCTGCTGAAGAGGAGATAGGTATGGAAACTCTTAGATCATCAGCGTATTTAATGAATGTAACACCAGCTGAAGATAGTAGGTCATGCAGAAAGGATGAGAAAGGACATGGGGAAAGGATGGCTCCTTGGAGAACACCAGTCACTGTAAGCAATGAGGTGGAGCACTTCCCACTGTGAACAGAATGTTGTTTCCTATCAGAGAAATAGAAACCCAGCCAGTTGATTATCCAGGACTCAGTATTTGTCCTGGTAAGCTTGTCCAGCAAAAGAGGTCTTGGGAGAGAGTCAAATGCCGAAGTACAGTCTGGAAAGGCATACCTAACATACTTAACATTTTTATCAAGCCTATAGGTAATATCGTGATATAAGAGAGTGGTGGTTCAGAGTTTCTTTTGCTGGATTTCTAACACTTTTGCTTACTTACTTTATCTTTCGCGTTGATCCATTCTTGTTTGATAGGTTTATATGAAGTTTGCCGACTTGGACTTTTACGCAATAATGCTCGGTAGCACTTTGATATTACCCTACTATAATATAAGTGTAACACCTGGGCATTAGGGTTGAATGTAATTACATACTAGATTTGTTTATTTGATATACAACACAAAAAATGCGATACAATATTATTTACTTGATGACGTTTTGAGCATAAACTGTCATTCCTCATAATCACATCAGTGTGTAATATCACTCCACTCTCGGCATTTGATTGATTTTTATATTCCTGTCACCCACCTCTTATTCTTTGTTTTTATTGGTAGTAAAAATTTCCACATCTCTGCTACAGATATGTGTTGCCTTATTCCTATTACATGTGTTGTCTGGGTGTTGATTCGATGAACAAGGAATCAGTAATCAATCTCTCTCTTGGTTGTAGTATGTTCTCTGAGCTACAGATATTCTCCACCAATCTCTCTAGGAGGGTACATCAGAAAATTTACATAGGATCCTCAACAAAGCTGGAATTTGTCGGTTTAAGGATCCGATAGAAGCAATTGGGCAAAATAATCTAATCTATCAAATCCCATGAAATGACTGTGAGGTCAAGTTAATAGATGAAACTAAGTGATCAGGGTCAATTAGAATACCGGAACATAAGAATTTAGCGAAATATAGAATGATGGACCCGAATAAGATCAATAATCTAGACTAGAAAACCTTGGCTATTGCAATGCATGCATTGACACACAACGACATAATACGATGGGTGGGATAAAGCCACTATACTCAAGCCCAGTATGATTAGGTGCAGAGAGAGAGAGAGGTTTGTTACTGAATCTTTGTTCGTGGGATCAACACCCACCCAACACATGTGATAGAAATGGCGCAACACCGATCTGTACCAGAGATATGGTAAATATTACTACCAATAAAAACAAAGAATATGAACTAATAGGATTATCATACTCAGATGTCGACAGTGGAGTGTGTTTACGTTGATATGATTATGAGCAATAGAGTACTGATGCTAGAAATTTCATTCAGTGAGTGATACTGTATCACTGTGCGTTATATATCAAATAAACAAATAGAATATGATTTTTGAGGTGAATGGGAATTTTAATTTAGGAGTACTATTCATCGTGGTCTGATACCAGTTGGGGAGTCACTGAAAACTTGGGAGCACTGGACAACTGTTTCGTCTTAAAAAGAGATTCCGTAACAGTATAGTACTCGTCAGTGACACATGCTTCTACACGGATATCACGAAGTCCTAATGAGAAGCCGTGACATGTGGGGTCAACCATTCTGAAGGGAAGCGGATACTAAACCAAGATGTTTGGTGATAGTTGTTCTAAATCGTGAAGTGACATGACTTGGAAACTTTGAACCATTAAATTCCGACATAGTGACTGATTGATTAACATTTTCTCCTTGAGACCTGAAACCCCTGAGTTTAATTCCTAGCCGGGTTGTGAGTGCATACTCCTGAGGAGTCCCATACTAGGATGAAATGGCTATCCACTGCTCCCAGATTTTCAATGGTTCCCTAACTGATGTCAGTCTGTGATGAATACTACCTCTCATCATCATCATCATCATCAAAATCAACATAGGACCAGGCATTACTGCGTAACGGGGTCCGAGTTGCCACACCTCATACCACTACATCAAGTAAACATGGCAGTAAAGTGGAAGATGAAGAAAAGAAAACTCAGTCAAAAGAAATATAAAGTGCGAAAAGAGAGAAAGGAAGAATGAGAAAATGGTGAGATTCTATATAGCATCGCCCCATATGGCTCAAACCAACTGTCAGAGACTTTATGCATTGGTGTCATGTTTTAGTCTGACCACGTCTAAATCTAACTCTGTCTATCTTACCGTTTGACTTCCAAAGTTTAACACCGAAGTATACGTTCCTTTAAAATTATAAATAGGCTAAACTGTCAGTTAATAAGAAGTTTCGGTTGGTGACTTTCTTTCTAGTGATTGTCGGGCATCATTTAACTGGAGAAATTAGTCTTATAAACTTATCTGCATTATTGATTTATTATTAAAATGACACCATGAATAATTTACTGATGTTTCTGTTTTTCCTCTACTTTTTGTTTTGTTTTATCTCTAGAACAAGCACATGCTGAGCTTTGTTATGCCGAAGGTCTTCTTCAGTTGGCATTTCTTTCAATGCTTCAAGATGAAAAACTTACAAGCCTTATAAAATGTTCCTTGAAAATACGTCAGTGTTACAAGTGTTATCGGTTAGTTTTAGTAATTGATCAAGATCAAATTTGACTTTTTTCTGAACAACTGACGTGTACCAATGTTACACTGTAGATAAACTTTCAGAATATATCAATGTCACATTTCTTTAAATGTAGAGTTCTCCCGCCTTATTTCATTCTTTCTTGATCTGACTTTTGATCATTGACAGACTCATCTTGTAGTAAATTATCAATACTGTGAAATGAGGCTCATTTTTGATATAGGTAGTGGGATTATCAATATATCTGGGATATATGTCAAGCCATTCCTGTTACTGTATGTCTTTGGTTTTTATTCAATAAACAAGGATTCGGTTACCAATCTCTCTTTCTTCAACTCGCTAGGTTATTGTTATTATTCCTTTTCCCTTGGGTTCCTAGTGGAACATAGGGCTTCAGTAGCACGTCTCCATTGCACTCTCTTTTCTGAAGTCTTTTCAGCCTGGCGCCACGTCTACCCACAGCTTGCATTTCTTCCTCACATGATCTAATCCATGTCACCCTCGCTTTGGACGCCCAACTCGTCGTTTTCCATTTGGGTTCTAGTCGACGGCCTGGCCTGAAGCATGATGTCCCCAGTCGGCCTTCTTAGTGTAGGCCCTATCCATCTCCACTTTCCTCTGCTGCATATTTGTTGCGCGATAGTTTCTTGGTTGGTTCAGTGCCAGGCCAGAGTTGCTTATTGCTTATTCTTATTATTCTGATCATCTCATCTTCAGTATCGAGGCAGAGTAGGTAGCAGCTGTTGATGAATGTTTGTAGTTTGTTGGAAATGCCTTTCGGGACATGCCATGTCTCTGAACCATATAGAAGCACTGACTTGACTGGCATTGGTGTTCAAAATCCGGATGTTGTTCTCGCTTCGTGCTGAGTGCAGTAGATTTCCACACTAGTTTCAGATTAGTGAAAACCTGTCTTGCTGTGTTTCAGATTCTGGCTGCTTTGACATCCTCGTCTGTGCCTCCTGTAGTTGGAACGATGCTGCCTGCCTAGGTGGTATGTGAAAAAGACAGCTTCCTTTAGGTTTCTTGTGTTCGTGGTGATTGGTGTTTGTTGTTATCGTTGCGGTTGTTGGTTGGGTATCTCCATCACCTCTGTCTTCTCTACATTCACCCGAAGTCCAGTCTTCCCTCGCTGCCTCGCCCCACCTCTTCTGTCAACTCGTTTGTTTTTGCCTATAGATCTTCGAGTTTGTGCAACATTAGACACAAATTATCGGCGAAATCCAAATATTCTTCTGTGGTATTTTCATCGCTACAGCGTATGCTCATCTTATCACTGCTCCTCACTGTTTGCTGCATGACTGAGTCGATCACAATCAGGAAGATGATCGATGATAGTAGGCGGTAGCCTTCTCTTATTCCGCTCTTCACTTCAAAGGCATCACTGAGCTTTCCACTGCAGATCACTTGTCATGTAGCTTCGTCACACAGCTGTTGAACGAGATTGATTAAGATTTGTGGCACTCTATAATCCTAAGGAATTCTACCCTGTCCTATCTTATAGTCTGGTAGCGTGTGACTGTATGCATAGCTACGACCGAGCTTTTGTCTAAAATCCTTATCTTACTAGGATCTACCAATTTTTACCTAGCTGGGTTTCGGTACTCCGATAGCCTAGTTGACCCTGGTCAATTGCTTTGACACATGTATTTGACCAGGTAACACTTGCAAGGGATTCGGTAAGTTAAATTGTTCTGCTTAATAGGACCAGCAGGATCTATTAACCTACAAAGCTTATTTCGAAGTGAATTTGTAGGTTTAAACGCCATTCTAATCGCAACCGGCCTTATTGAGAATCCTAAGTGATGTCTCTGCGATGACTTCCTTGGATGGTATTACTGCAGAGGTTTCAAATTCTCTCTTCACACCATTCCCGCCATTATTATGAAGACCATTAACTTTACCAATACTATTAACACCTGTGCTTCTAATAATGGTCATATTTTTCTTACGATTACCAAGGGATTTATTAACTAATAGAAGAGGGTAATTATTATTGAGTAAGGTGTCTTCAATGCATCTGATTTCCCGTCTTAGGTCTGCTGTTCTACTAATAAGTTTTCTCATCCTGTTACTCAGACATTTAACTACAGCAACTTTAACTGATATACGCTGGGATGATTTGAAGTTTAAGTAGCGATTTCAGTGTGAGGGTTTTCTACGGATACTACTGTCTAATCTCCCATTTTGTTTTAGGTTGATTCTACAATATAATGTCTCTAGTTTTCCTGCACCATTTCCTAGTTTATAGGTAAAACTTGCACACTCGAATCGCTACATAAACTTCAAATCATTTCAGCGTATGTCAATTAAAGTCGGCGAAGAAACTAACTAATGAGACAGAAGTTTCAAGGTAGGAAATCAGACACATTAAAGCCACCTCACTTATCAATAACTACCCTATGAAATTAATGAATAAATTCCTTACTAGTTCATGAACACAACGAAGATATACAGGGAGTTAAAGGTGGCCTGAACGGCTTGGTGCTAACGTTTCTGATTTCAGAACCTAGTGGTACAGGTTGAAATCATAGATAAAACATCGGTTTCTTTATGGCTGAAGGCACGCTTTGTTGATGGGTGTCAACAAACAAGAAGTCTGTCTCAATTAGGGATTTCTACTGACTCTCAATATCTAACACCGAAATGCAATGGAGTACAATGCCAAATCACTAAGCATGCTGACCATATTGGGAACATGGTCGATAAACTTTGATCATTTTCGGCACTAAGGACTTGATGAATGCTCAAATCACACGGTAAATTGTTACATTCTCACTAAACTTTTCCTTATACTGAAATATCTTTTAACTGAAATTTCGATGATTCATTAACATACGTCTATCTGTTACAGAAATTCCTTCTCAACTTGCCTTTTCCCGCCGTAACCTTCCAAATTAAAACTTTGACATCGAATGATGTCAGAATCAACCAATAGTCTTCACCTGCCTGAGGATTACCTACTTTTCAGTTTAAAGATTTATGGGGATTTATTAATTTCATGGTGATATCCATCATGGACTGACACTGGACTGCTGTTTCTTCTTATTGTGCTCTCCCATCATACAACCAGGAGTCGAAGCCAGAACTTTTCAGTTTTGCAGTGGACACGTTACCACTGAAGCATACTGTTACCTTTACTCAGCAGATGTCCACATAATTAGTTGTTTGGCTGCATATGGTGTATTATAGTGGCGATATTAATCATAGCTATGGCGTTGTGATCTTTAACATGTGTGGGATCATCGCAGAATTATTCATTAAAACAGTAAGAATAATTTAGGTTTACACTTTAATGCTTCAAGTTGAAGCAATGAATGCAAACGTAATTTCAAGTAAGGTTATCCCTTTGCTTGCAACCCATTTCTTCTTTAGTAAGACACGTATCTTTCATTTGATGAGCTGCAGTTTGAAATCCAAAGATTTATCGTTAGTTTTAGACAACTAGGTTCTTTCATTAGCTGTCAGGCAGGCAGAATTGACTCAGCCTACAACTTCGACATCTCAGTACTTGGTTTTTAAGTAACAAAATGGTTATAGATTAAGGTTAACCTTCTAGTTGTATGGTTTGTGAACTCTCGACTCTTCATAGGACATTCTATAATATAATATAAGACAGTGAATTGAATAATAGACTGGTGTCACAAAACGCTGGTTTATACTCAACAATGATATTAGAAATTGCTACATTTGAGTCCAGCTAGAAAAATGTTGACAACTATATTAACCCACTTGTCGAATGGTAACATTATTATCCACCGGGTGATTGACCTTGAGCTCAGTTGTGTATCACTTCGTGAATATGCATTCTTGAAGAGTAATCAAGTGTCTTTAGGATATTTTCAACCATATTGGTAAACAAGACTTGATGATTTATGAGACTATCTGAAATATCCATGGTTTGGGAGACTCGTAACATTGATAGGATGGGATGATAGTGGGACAAGTTGAAGTCTAGATCACACCAGAGCTCGAACTAATGGCAGTTGGGTTACCAATCTGTACTGTACTTAGCTACTGACCAGGTGTTAACTTCGCTTCAATCATGAAGGGTTTCCCACTGCTGTCACTGACTGAGTTACTGGATGACTTGCCATATAGTAGACAATTCACGGCTCCTTATCAACTTGTTTCAGCCTCTGCCTTCTTCAACACAAAATTCCAGCTAAAGTATAGTTTGGTTGGTGAAAGGCTGAAGGTGATTGGAACAAGACCAAGTTTCTCACTGTTGATCTTTGTCGGTAATAAAAGTGTGAGCTTTCAGGTTGCCGTATATAATACAACCGAAACCATGTGTGGCATTGCTCAGAATCATCAAACTAGCTCGTATGCTTCCGCAGCTTATCTTCTCAGACCATTCTTGTTGAATAAGTGTGCCATAACTCATACTGATCCATGGGTTACAAAGTGGCTGTATTCTTATTTTTCTGAAAGGAAACAGTGTACTGTCTATAAAGGGAAGCCCTCCACTTCATTGCTTACTAGAGCTGGTGTGCCTCAAGGTACCCTACTTTCTCCTTTTCTGTTCTCATTCTTTTTGCATGATTTGCCTTATTTTGTTGAAATTAAGTTTAGCAAGTATGCTGATAACCTGACGGTGTCTATTCCAGTTAACTCTCAGTTAGATTGTTCTGAATTAAATGGATTCTTGTCTCTTATTGACCAATGGTCTCTCTCGAAAGGGTCTCAAGTTAAACTGCTGATTTTAGCCTCAGGCATAAAGAAGACTTGTGTAGACTGTTTAAGTTTCATGACGTCTGTTGGATTGATGGTTTTTCTACAGAAAGTAAATAGAGTGAGTGGATTGAGTTTTACTTGTCATCTCTGTTGGTCGTCTCATATCTTGTTGATTTGTAAGAAAATCTTTCGTTTAACTTATTACATGAAAAAACTGAGACTGTCTGGTATAAGTCAACTTCTACTTTTACAATTTGCTAATTTCTGCATTTAACCCTTTCTTCTTTATTGTCCCCCGGTTGATCTTTCATGGTCTTCTAGATAAGGACTAGGTTGTATTTCGTAGGACTTTGTAAGGCATCAGTCCGTACGAAGAGTGGTGCGCCTCTGGGCCAATTGATTAACACTATAGCTGACAGAAGGAAGTGGAAATGGATTGCGCATACCCTGAGAAGACCATTCAGGGACATCACGGGTCAGGTCAGGCCGTCGAGTGGAACCCGGATGGGAAACGACTAGTTGGGCGTCTTAGCTGAGGGTGACATGGGGGACATGGTGTGAGGAAGAAATGAGAGCTTGTAGGCAGTCTTGGAGCCAATTTCAAAAGGCTACAGAGAACAGAGTGAAATGGAGACGTGCTACTGGTGCCCTATTTTCCACTGGGAGCCCAAGGGACAAATAATAGTAATAATAACAATAATAATAATAGTTGACAGACATTTAAGTTCTAGAGAACAATTAGCTAGGGTAATTTTAACTGATACTGAGTATCCACTTCATTCATAGCTCCCTCAATGTATCTCCTCTCAAGGAGGACAAGAAGAAACGACGTAAGACTGTTCGCTCTTACAGTCAAGTACAAGAATTCGACTGTACCTACCCTGCCCACCATGCATATTATGTAAGGAAAAACGTGTGTTAGAGCAGAACTCACAAATCAACTTTGTAACAATAATTTAACTAACAATGTAAAATTTTCTCCTCATCAATATTCTCTATACTACTTAAACTTTTATAGTAACACTCATCGAAATATTGTAATGAAGTATATACCTATCTATATTTTGTTATTGTCGTAATCTGTCGTGCTGAGAATTGTAAATTATGCCAAAAGTTGTATAGAATAAAGTGAATATTATTATTATTGGCATTGTATTATTATTCATTTCAATTGTAGTGACGTTCTACTACTTTCGTTCGAATCCTTTCTTGTTCCTTTGTAATTTATTTCTTTTAGCATTGGCGTGTTAATGTAATGTTATGAGTTGTCACAAACAATACCTTGACATATTCAAACAAAACCTTGTATTGATAATTCTTATTCAGGTTGTTATTCATTGTAGACTGACATCAGTTGGAGGAACAAAGGAAACCTGGGAGCACTGGACAGCTGTTCCGTCCTAGTATGGGACTCCTCAGCAGTGCTCGCCCACGACCCCGCACTCCAGAGATCGAACCCACAACCTTCAGGTTCCACGGCCAGCGTGCTACCATTGAGCCACTGGGTCAGAATCTAATCGTCCATATTTCTAACTTCTGTTACTTCACGATATAGCGCAACCGCCACCCAATGTCATCGTTAGGTAACTGTCCTCACGACCATCAGGCTTGGCCCCCTCTGGTCACGACTTCTCATTAGAACTTGGGGAATACCTCTCGAAGCCAATCACCAATGAGCACCAGTTGAAAGGAATTTTGAGGGAGTTGTGGGGATTTGGAAATATTTCAAGTTGATATTCATCGTAGACTGACGTCAGCTGCTTGCGCCATATCGTGAGCTAACAGAATTTGGAAATATGGACGATTAGATTCTGACCCAGTGGCTCAATGGTAGCGCACTGGCCGTGGAACCTGGAGGTTGTGGGTTCGATCCCTGGAGTGCGGGGTCGTGGGCGAGCACTGCTGAGGAGTCCCATACTAGGACGGAACAGCTGTCCAGCGCTCCCAGGTTTCCTTTGTTCCTCCAACTGATGTCAGTCTACAATGAATAACAACTTGAAATATTTCCAAATCCCCACAAATTCCTCAAAATTCCTAGTCATTTGTCTTTGAATAATTAACTTTCCCTAAATTGTATTTTATTTTATTTCAGAATCTGTTGGAGGATATTAAAGTATCGAAATTGGGAAAATCATATCAGCAAGTCAGCTTTTGAAAGTGGTGTCCATTTAGGTGTAGGAGCATTCAATCTAGTAAGTGTATAAATGGAATAAATCATTTGTTTATCTGTAATCATTTGATTTCTCAATTCTTCATGAAATTGTAACAGATTTTTTTTATTATTGCGATCGAAAGTGTTTTATACAAAGTCTGTAAACTCACTACTTATATATCTCACTATTACCAACAATTTGAAAAATTGAGGCGAACTTTTTAAACTCAGTTTTAGCTTTTATATCCTGAGAAAATTTTACACAATCATTCTGGTATACTTTATAGCGTTCTATAGTAAATTTTTTATAAAATGTTTCTTCTTTAAATTGGCGCCAAAATTTTTGTTTAAAATCATATGGAAACTTTACACTATTATTACCACTTTAATTTAGGGGTTTGTAGGGATTTAGGGATTTTTCAGTTTGGTATCCAGTGTAGACTGACATCAGTTGGAGGAACATTGGAAACCTGGGAGCACTACCAGAGATCCAGCCCAGGGCCTTCAGGTCACATGCCTAGCACGTTACCATTGATCCACTGGGTCCACGGAATCCAATGGTCCATATTTCCAACTTCTTTCAGTTCATGACATAACATTACCTCCATTCAATGTCATAGGTGAATATTTTTCATCATGGCCACCAGGGTTGTACCACCAATTACCTTATTCCCTACAGTTGGGGAGTTGAAAAAATGCTCATTTGTGAGAAATATCATTTTGAACCATAAAATTTGTTAACTGTTTCGAAATTGATCATCTTACTCCAAAGTGTATTGATCCATGCAAGTCAAATCGCTAACTACATTCACTTGACCTGAACAGTTTAAGCTGAATTTATCAGGGTGTTTGCTGATGAGCTCAGGAGTAAGTGCACAGAACGGTAATCCGTTGCTTAGATCGCTATGACCTCGCTGATGAAATCTAAAAATCAGCGTCACTGCTTCTTAACTGCTGAAGTTGTTCAGTGGTATGAACATAGAAGTAAGACTTGGGTACTGTGGTTGATTGTAATTCGTTTTAGTCTGTTTATTAGAAATGTCACACCGTGAAGAAACAGTATCATTTACTGGATAACATTTCACACATAATCTATTGTCCACATTCATGTATAGTAATTCCACAAATTTGAGAAAAAGTTCATGTAGTCATAATATTTTCTCCTTCTGTGTGATGACAAGGGTAATAGAATATTTTATATATCTGGGGTAGAATCGGAATCATTTGTGTGTTGTTTCGATAGTTAAAGATTCGCTTACCAATCTCTCCTTCCCGCCCCCCCCCCCACAACGAAGTTTATAGTACTGTGACTGTATCCGACCCTACTATGTGATTTTGTGCAATTGCGTGCAGAGCTATAGCCGAGCTTTCCTCTGGATTTCTTATCTTATTACGATCTACTAATCTGTTGATGTGTTTTGTGTTCTGTTATTCTAATCGAGCCTGACTAGTCAACTACTTTAACTGACCTGTGTATCTGACCTCGCAATCATTGCAAAGGATTTGGTAAACCAGATTATTTGGCTTAATTGCATGGATAGGATATTTCAACCTACAAAGCTTGTTTCTAAGCAATTTTTTTCGGTTTAAATGCCAAATAATCCCAGCCAGCCTGATTGAGAATTCGTCGTAACGCTTCTGAGGTGACTTCCTCAAAATTCTGTCTTAACCCTGTCATCATTATTACCATTAGTAGTAGAATTATTATTGATAACATCTATATTACTACTACTACTGCTGATATTTTTCTTTCGATTTCTCATGAGTTTATTTATAAATCCAGATGGGTAGTTATTGAGATACAAGGTATTCTTGATTTGTCTAGTTTCTTGTCATAGATTTTCTGGCCTACTTAGTAAACTTTTCCGCCCTATCACTTTGGCATTTAACTAAGCCTACTTTAAGTGAGATGGGGTGGGAGGATTTGAAGTCTAAGTACCGATTAGAATGGGAAGGTTTCGCATAGACACTAGTCTCTAAACTTCCATTTTGTGTTCAGTCCTACAAAGCTGAAGAAACTGAAACCGTCTCACGTGACTAGAACACACCTGGGTTGTTTGTATTAGTTAGAATATCAGTATTCCTAGAACGTCCTTGGATTTCATGGTATCGTTCGTAAGCCACTAAAAGATTTTCACGTGTAATTGAAAACCATTACTTAGGGTCATTAGGCGCAAATCCTGAATTGATGGACATTTCATTGATCGCAGACCATTTCAACTACACAGTATAATGCATACAATAAACTGGACGATTTCCTGATGACGCTTTCAGGCGATGCCTTAATCTTATGACTACCAGAAGATCTCTCATTTTCACTCTCTCTTTTCCTGTAGGAAAATTTGACACTACATAAAGAAAATACACAGATATTGTAATTAGTTCTGTGATCAAAACAGAATTTCCAACTATCTTATCAGTCAGTACATTTCAGTGGATTAATAATACAAACAAACGTCTCATAGTTTCCGTAATTTTTAAGGTATCATTCATCATGAATAGATAACTTTTTGAATAATCATCAAGATGAATTTCCCCAAATTTCAATAAAATACCTCGATGTTTGTTGTCAGGTAAGTCGGTTACAAGGAAATATATCATGAAATGACCGAAGGTAGAAATTATGGACAGGTAGTACAATGGTAAGATACTTGCCTGTGTTCAGCATCGTGGTTGCATATAAGTAAGAAATTTCATACTAGGACAAAATTCCTATCCAATCCTCAGAAGTTTTCAATAGTTCACAAAATGATATTATTCTGTAATGAACATAAACTTCTAAAATGAATTGCATAATTTCTACTTCATTCTACATAATATCGTTCAACCCCGTAGTTGGTGGTTCATACAGTTTATGCTGATACTTAAACGGCTTTTATAGCGTTATAATGCTTCTGTAGAAAGTATTTCTCTAGCAGAAATCAAATGACAGTTTCCCAGCATGTGTGTGTGCATGTGTGCTACATCATACAAGCAGGCGACTTAACGCAACCACCACGAAGATATACTATACACCTATGGTCAGATTAGTAGAAACTGCCAGGGTTGTATGCTTTCCTAAACACTCCCAGCACATAAACGATAATATCACCTTCCACTGTATCTACCAGTTTAAAGGTATGTGAGGTGACTGATACACTGCGGAAAACCTGTAGGTCCATTCAGTTAAGATCTTCGGAGCTTATTCCGAAAAACACTTGGAAATTAAATAGAATCACCTGGAAGCTTTAAATGTTGGTAGCAGGCTTTCAAACTATTCAGCTGCGAAACACCTCTTAGATGGATCTCAGAGTTGATATTTCTATGTGGTTTAAAGTTATTCATTCAGCGGTTTGCACACGAATCCTCAAATTGGTGGTCGCCTTAGCGTTTGAAACGTTTAGGTCATCTGAACAGGTTTAAAAACTATTTGTTTTCACATTAAACCCTCCTTAGTGAATTCAGCTTTGAAACTAAGGTCATTGTGATATTATTTTTTCCTCTATTGATTTTTATGTTATTATTTGTAATTTCGCGCCGCTACTAAAATGAAACTATAGGCAATATCGAGGCACTGACGTAGGAGCCCATATACCAAACGAGACCGATTAATTTGGTTTAATTTAACGACGAGAAATTATAAACAACACCATAAAAACTATACCTGTCGTACAATAAGCGGCTAGTGTACCCCAGTGACCAGGTCGATAACAATTTGATGTTTAAAGTGATCAGTCTAAGGTTCAGATCTTAGTGGTGACAACATGTCTCATTGGGAAGTGCATACATCCAGTTGACGAGTCCGAAGTAGAACAAAACGCGCACCCACTGCTAGTCACTATTGATCATTACTATTTTTTGATTTCAACCCTTAATTTTGGTCTTCAGTTTAGCTTTCCTATTCGACCTCTTTCAATATACTCATCGCATATCTCTTCATAACCTATAAGAAATACGTGTTTGAATTTGGGGCATTTGTGGGGATTTGGTGATTTTTCAAGTTGGTATTCGTCATGGACTGGCTGACATCAGTTGGAGGAACATTGGAAACTTGGGAGCAATGGATATCTGTTTCGTTACCCATTGGTGGCACTGGACAGAGGTCAAGCTATGTAGCGAACTAACTGAAGTTGGAAATATGGACCGTGGGTCGAGGGACCTTAAGGTCCCGGGTTCGAGCCCCGGTGGGTGGGGTCATGGGTGCGTACTATTGAGGAGTCCTGTACTGAGACGAAACTTCTGTTCAGTGCTCTCAGGTTTCCACTGTTCCTCCAACTGATTTCAGTTCATAATGAATACCAACTCGAAAAATACGTGTTTGCTCAGATTGTTGAGAACGTGTTGCCCAAATACATTACGTGATTCAGACAAATCATGTCTTCTCATTGTTTTGTGGGAATCAACAACCTAGTAACAAAGTTATACTATAAAACAGTGCTCAAGTTTTACTCCTAGAGTTCATTCACTTTAGCTATTCCAGTAGGCATCTCCTTGGCAGTACACAGACACACTACAGTTGAAGAAAAACTGTCGCTGTGAAATGAAGCGAATTTTTCCTTCATTCCTTCCGAATTCTTCTTGTGGTGAGTTACAGGCACATAATATGGTCGCCAGTTGCCTAATCAAGTGCTATTTTTTGGAATGTAGTGAAGCTACCTTGACAGACATATCAAACCTTCTTGAACCATGATGAGTGCTCGATATTTTTGCTGCATTTATCAAGTGGAATTTCTTTCTATTCTGAGTTTATTCAATGTCCAATTTAATCGCACAAGGGTGGTGATATTGAACCATGAATTCATTCATCAGCTGACTTGGTCAAGGTCATATTTGCTGTTTTAAGTTTAACAGACTTTGCCGTAACGTTTTGTAGCAATACTACTTACAAATTAATCATGCTTAAGCGACTTTCAGAGGTCGTAAAACGCCTATTTTTCAGGGTTGAAATTCCAGCTATCACCTACTAAAGTAAAGCTTTCGTTTTGACTCATACTACTGAACAACTTGAGTAGTCAGAAACCATACATACTGGTTTGTAGATTTTATCAGTCAGATTAGAGTGATCTAAAAACCGGCTGGCTGATTGGTTCGTTTTTCATCAAGCTCATCACCAGTGTACACTGAAAAATTCAGCTCACACAGTCAAACTGTTTACAGAAAATGAATCTAGTTGGCTATCTGACTTGCATGGACCGGTATGTCTTAGATTAGGATGATTCATTTCCAAGTGATTTACATTTCTCACATCTGAGTGGTTTTTCAACTGCCCTACTCTAATGTGAAGAAAAGAGAAAAGACCGTTAGGTTTGATCTTTGACTGCACAACTTATTCGCCTAGGAGACAACGCCTTGGCATCTGAGGGTTATCGTTCCAGCGCTCGAGTCCTGACAGAAGCAACAACGTTCACTGGATGGCGGGTGTATTTGGCTGATGAGTCCCGAATAGGGGGAAATACACTTTCTAGATTTCACTTCTGGCCACTATCCATCATTTAAAACTGAATAATTGTTTAAATGTTTACTTACTGAATCGTTTACATATTTAAATTTATTTGGTAGATGAATAAGGACTTTTGAAGTTTTAGTTGTTTTCCGGTTACATCGTGAGAAAATTAACTCTCTTAAATGTTGACAAACAGAAGGTTTCAACCATTCATAGAGACCTTCGATGCTGAAGATGAAAACAATGCAGAATATTTCAGCGAATTCAATAAACAATCTTAATAGCATTGTTTGAACCAGGTGACTGCTCAACTTCAATCAAGTGTTCAAGAAATGAAGTTCTGGTGTATTTCCTTTCTCCTTTTTAAAACTAGGCTGACATATGCTGTCGTTTACATACTGATAGTAATCTTTGCCTATAGCCTATGCACCTTACTCCATAGGAGCTGGTGAACTGGTAGATGCATATGAGAGTGGTCAGTTGATTCATTCATTTGTAAAATGATTTCTAAGTACTTCTGACGCTATAGCGTCTACGAATTCCAGACCGTGAGTTTTCCTAGAAAGTGAATTGATGGCTAATGTCGTATGTCATTCTGGCATATTTTTGTCAAAAAATCGATTGCCGCAGGCATTTTCAGCTAAGGGACTCTCTTAAGAAGTGTACTACATCTTCAACTGAATCTGTGTTACAAGCATTCCATACTCGGTAGACAAGTTACTTTATACAATGTTTTTCCTCGTGATTGACAACCAATGGTAACAGTTTGTAAGTTTTCGATTACACGCGTTATTTGTAGATGAGTTGCCGTCCTCGTCATCATCACTATCAGCACAGGACCAGCCATTACTGCGTAACAGTCCAAGTTGCCACACTTCATAATGATACATGTAGTAACAATGAAGTAAGATGGAAGATAAAGAAAAGAAAAAAGGAGGACCTGTCAAAACCAGTAGAAGAAAGGAAGTAGCGATGAGAAAGTATTGAATTCTGCTTAGCAGTTAAGAGAAAGCTAAAGTGTATAAACATCTGCGCTGCTGACATCAATTCTGAGCCTTATCATCTAGAGTCGCCAATCGCTCACTGGTTTCTTTTGTCCCACGGACCCCAGCCAGCTAGTCTGCATCGCCTTAAGTGGCTCTGAGCGACAGTGAAGAACTTCATGCAGTGATGTCATGTATTAGTCTGGTTACCCAAAGCCTTCCTCAGCTAACACTCCCCAGTGAGGCACGTGGTGACTAGGCATACATAACAGATGTCCCATCAATTTCAATCAATGAAGGCTCACAGCCATATCCACTGACTTCCCTCTCCTTTTTGAAACTGCGAACCTGACTTCTGCATCACTGACATCGTGATATTACGGTACGTTACACGGTGTTATGAAGGCGATGGTGGTCGAATACCCACAACCTTCTCCTTTAGTGCCCGTGTTTTGCGGCCGTAGAGTAGAACAGAGAGAACTGTTTCGCAGTGTGCTCAACCCTTAATCAACAATCGGATACCGTGGTGTCATAGGTAGCACAAGTTGGCGAAATCCAACTAAAACTTTTCTATTGGTGTAGAGATTTCCTTGGCACTGACCTGTGCATCAGGGCTGACCCGATGTCATAGGTGAGCGACGTGTTCAAAGCATTCAACTGACTAGTCAACTACTTAAACTGACCTGCGTATTTGACCTCGCAATCATTGCAAGGGATTTGGTAAACCAGATTATTTGGCTGAATTGCATCGATAGGATATTTCAACCTACAAAGCGTGTCCCTCTCGACGAGTTTGTTGCTTTAAATATCAACCACTTTAATCACATCTAGTCTTATTGAGAATTCGTCGTAATGCTTCTGAGGTGACTTCTTTGTATCGTAACACAGTAAAGGCTTTGAATTCTGTCTTAACCCTGTCATCATTATTACCATTAGTAGTGGGATTATTATTGATAACACCTGTATTAGCAATGGTAGTGGTAGTAGTAGTAGTAGTAATACAGGTGTTATTAATAATAATCCCACTACTAATGGTAATAATGATGACAGGGTTAAGACAGAATTCAAAGCCTTTACTGTGTTACGATACAAAGAAGTCACCTCAGAAGCATTACGACGAATTCTCAATAAGACTAGGTGTGATTAAAGTGGTTGATATTTAAAGCAACAAACTCGTCGAGAGGGACACGCTTTGTAGGTTGAAATATCCTATCAATGCAATTCAGCCAAATAATCTGGTTTACCAAATCCCTTGCAATGATTGCGAGGTCAAATACGCAGGTCAGTTTAAGTAGTTGACTAGTCAGACTCGATTAGAATAGTAGAACACAAAATCTTAGCTAAATCAACAGATTAGTAGACTGTAATAGGATAAGAAATCTAGAGAAAAGCTCGGCTATAGCTCTGCATGTGATGACACACATTCACGCAGTAGAGAGGGGTAGGATGACAGCGTTAAATGAAAACTAACTTAGCTGGTGGAGGAAGGGAGGATTGATAACCGACTGAATCTTCGTTTATCGAATCAACACCAAACACATGCAATCGAAGTTGTAGAGTTACCTGATCTGATATGAATGTAGACAATAAATTTCAGCCAAAACGTCGTTATCGAGTAAATGATACTGTCGGTTCACTGTGTAATATTTTTAATAAACAGACTAAAATGGAATTACAATGGACCACAGTTCCCAACTTTTACTCTTATATTCCTACTTTGATATTTACAGATGATCTCGATGCTTCCTAGACGAGTGTTAAAATTGTTGGAATTTGTTGGTTTCTCCGGCGATCGTGTAAGTTAACGTTGTTCATTGTTTCACTTTTTGACTAGAAGTTTGAATTCTTTTTGTATAATTTTGACAGTTAACAGGAAAATGTTTGACTCCACCTGGAATCGAACCCAGAACCTCCAGTTTTCGTGCATACATACTAACTGCCTCAAGCTATCGGTCCAATTTCGAAAAGGATTTCGGAATCGGAGGGGATGAAAGTCACAGTGAATCAAATTTGATATTGAACGGATATGAATACCCAGTGGAAAACCTTATTTTTGTAGAAATAGTTGATAGTCTTGATTGTATTGTGTTCTCTGACCTGGGTTGTTTAATCGTGGGGAAGCTTTCATCATCTTTCTAGACAGCCACATCATCACTGATACCTTCAGTATGAAGTGAGCTGTCAGTATCTCTCCGTGAGTGATTCAGTAGCTTAGCTTGACCAACTGGTTTGTGATTGGTTGTTTGCCTCGATTGTTGTGTAATTGATTGTATAGATTTTCCTGTTGACTGTTCCTCTGCTTCACCTCTGACCCTACTGTCCTTTATCATTTTTCTCACTGGTCAATAGATTGGGTCTATTACATCTATACATCTATTGATAGCTGACTGACTGACTGACCTGAATGCCAAGCTTCTAGGAATTCTCTGATATTCTTTGTGTCTCCTCTCTCCATCTAAAATTTCTATATAGTCAAAATTCAATTCATGTCCATAGTTGTTATCCACGTGCATTGAGTGATGAGTGATGAAATGTCTTGTGTGACGTTTAATAGCCATTCGGTGTTCATGTAGACGAAGGCGAAGAGGGTGACCACTCTGTCTAATGTAGTGTTGACTGTGGTCATTGCAGTTGATTTTGTAAATGATATTCGGTTTGTCTTTTTGGTTGTTGCATCGTTCGATCTGCATAATAGTGTTTGGAGGGAATTTATTGGTTTATGAGGCGCCACACCAATTTCACCAAGTGGTCTCAGTAATCTTGTTGTGATTTCTGTTACATTCTTTATTTATGGAAGGATGATGCATTTGTTGGCTTTGTAGTTGATGATGTATAGGATAGTCATCTTCTGATAAAGTTTCATGGGTAGCCGTTTTTATTTAGGATGGACATCAATTGATTTTCTTCGTTTCTCCTTGACGTTGTTGTGCTGCAGTGTATTCTCGCTTTTTTGAATATATTCTGCACGCAACTGGTTTTATGCGTTGTTGGGTTGTTGCTATTGTAGTTGAGGATTTGTTGAGTTTTGGTTGGCTTTGTTTACACTTGGGTTTCCAGCTTTACTGAATTCGTCCTATTGACTAAAACATCCAGCAATGGTAGTTAGTTGTTCAACTCCTTCTTCATTGTGAATGTGATGTCATTGAAAACGCTGTTGATCAATCTGTGAGTGTTTCCTAAATCGTTTTATTAATGATGACAAAAGTATCGGCTACACAGCGAATCCAAATTTTTGATTGCCTTCCGTGAATAGTAAGTCATATTATTTGGTTATCTGAGGACACTTAATACACGAAGTAAGATATGAAATGGAAGAGTATTCAGCCATAGTGGACATTCTTTGGACGTGCTCTTCTTGAGAGACAACCTTGACGCAAGGAATGTTGTAGTAAAGAGCCTTCAGTAAGTTAATCAGCTATCTACACACCCTTTTCGTTTGGAAGTGTTGATGAAATACTTCTTAGTTGGTAGGATTAAGTGTTTTCATCAGATATGAAAATACGGTTATTGTTGGGTGCGGGTAATTATCTGGTTGTATTAAGGCCTGAGGAAAATAAAAAATTAAGTCTACCTATCAGGTTCCATCCTCATTCCTTTTTCTCAGAATTCATTTTTATCCTATATTATTATTATTTGTCCCTTGGGTTCCTGGTGGGACATACGGCTTCAGCAGCATGTCGGCATTTCATTCCCTAACCCTCAACAGATATGGTTGGGAGCTAACCAACCGAATTCCTGGTTAAATGAAGCGCCCAACACCTCCAACCACTTTATTCCTTATTTGTCCATACAGTACCAACATAGATCAATTCAGGTGCCATAATTTGTACCAAAAAAGTCAGCAAAGTAATATATGTATTTTGATATTAGCACTGGTTTGAAAGCTCTATAGATTTTAACATCCTCACTTAAGAAGTTCTTTTTCAAGTAGGGATATCCACACTCCTCAAAGTTAAGGAAGTAATTTTCAATCTTTTACACATACTTCTATGATCAAGTCAAGTATAGATTGCATGAAATGAATTTGTCAGGAGAGACCAACTGTGCAAAGTACTCAAAGAATACATAACCATAGGATTTTGTAGCTTGATGACAGGTTAGTAGTCCAACTCTCTGTGATACCAAGCATTCTCTAGTAAACTCTGTCAGTCGACTTCTTCAATTTAGTAAGAAACAAATCACTCCATTGCATTATTACTCGGTTTGACAGCCACAGAACAAATATGATTAGTAGGTTTGAACCAGTACTATAAACCTGACAGGCAAATCGTTTACCATCCAGTGAAGAACTTAGATTCTTTGGAAGCTGTCGTTTAACCTAAATCCAATGGCTTCTTGTTCCTTTATGTGCTTAAGTTTCTTCATGAATACCTCCTTCTTCAGAATACTAACATCTTGAATTTTTGATTAATAATCAACGACTACAATGTCACCGAATATTGTATCTTTGAACGTCGTCATCCAGGAGTACACTTTTGTATGATGATTGGTGGTTCGGGCTAGATTTCTGGGTAGATATTGTTGTTGTCAAGCTGTCTGTCGACGAAACTACTTTCATAGTTAATCCGGGATAACGTATCAGTTCCCTGAAGTTTCTTGTTTTAATTCAAAATACATTTGAAGGAACAAAGAATATTCCTGTTTCATAACTTCTTCTTCAGGTTCTACAGTTATCCAACCTTATGTGCATGTATAAGAAATTTAGTACCATGGGATAGGACACCTAGGAATTTATGAACTCCAAGTTAGGTCAAGTTAGTTGCAGTAGCAATGCCTGCTTTCTCTAAACAAATAATTTGGGTTGTTTACTTCTGATTTCTATCGCTTACGTGGTTCGAAGAATTCGAAGCCACCTAACTTTGATCAGAACTTGGTATGTAATGGAAAGTGACTCATTCATATCCACCATATAGTTCGTTTGAACCAAATATACTCTAATATGACGCTGTTAAAGATCTTAATAACACGTTTGAAGGTGTTAGCGAGTACGGAAAACTAAATTCTTAAAGCAGTGAGCGATGTAACAGAAATGGCCAATCCAGGCAATCTGTTTTTCATAGTAAAGATGGATAGTGGCTATCAGTGGAATCCAAGTTGCACATTTCGTCCTATTTAGGACTCGCCAGCTGGATGTACCTGCCTCCCAGTGAGTGATGTTGTTCCTATGGGACTATCCATCTTTATTTATAAGTAGAACACAGGTATATCGAGGCATCCGCACAGGATCCCATATGCCAATAGAGACCGATCAATTCGGTCCAATCAACAACGGTATTATACAAGCAATAAGAGTAAGTCTATCTTCCAGTCTGAGTATCATCATTCAGCATATGGAAAAAGTAATTTTAAATTTACCAGTATTGAAAGTTTTTTATGAATTGATATCTTGCTAGACATATTACCTCTAAGCGGTATCCGAATGTATCGGTGTTCTCTGCTAGCTGTTAAAATAACTTTTCTTACTTTCACAGCTTCTTAATGACTACTTTTCCTCTACCTAATGACAGAAAGTAACCACTCTGAGTTCCCCGATTTCTGCACTAAAACTACTGTGCAGTACATATGTTTTGTTTTCTGTTAAGAGAACTATTTTTATGGAGTAAATAACTTCTCCGCAGAGGTTCTTTGTGTTTCTTTTAGCTAGTTAGATACTTTCTTATCTTAATAAACAATAAAGGTCATTTTTTTAAAAAATATTTCCACTTTAGCCACGCTACACATCATACATAACTCAATGACAGTAGACACTGATATAATTTAAGTTAGGAAACTTTGTGTTATACTGGTGTTTAAAATAAAAGATTATTAACACTTACAGTGAAAATGGATCATTTCAAGTTTTTATTCACTTTGTGTGGTTCTTAAGTTAGTGAAAAATAAGATTCTTCACCGATAGCTGGTGCCTTGACATAGTGGTTCGACTTGTATATCACAGTGATTCAATTAGCTACATTGGTTGGGAGGCTTGATCTCTGGAGGTTCTATCAAACCAGGAAGATCTGTTGGATAGTGACAAAGCAGTTACCCTTGTAGTAAAAATTGTTGCATTGTGATGGGGGTCTGAAGGCAAAGTCGTACTGCTGCTGGCAATAAGACGTTTCCCTTGAGTGACTAATAGTGCCATAGTGATGCTGCCATCGCTAACGGAAGGGGAAGGTTAAAATCCGTCAACTCCAAATTGGTACGCTCCTTCCTGCCCTGTGGTCTCCGTCGCTGGCGGTATGTTTTTTTCCTATTTGGCATTAGAGCACACAAATCTCAAAACAACAGTCTTCCACAGCTTGTGAATGACAGACCCCGATCAGATGTCCTAGGGGCCCTGAGGTCACTCATATCTTTTTTTCCTCCAGGTACCCTAAAATAAATAATCTTTCACGGTATGGGCAACCAGGAAGTGTCAACCGTCCTCACAACTCTCTCAGCACCCAAACTTCCCAAGATCACTATCAACCTCACCCACCTTTACCTTTCACACCTCTCAGTCAAGTTCTCCTTGCTCTGCATCTCTCTCCAACGATCTGAGTTTACAGTACAGCTCCCTTGGTCTCCCGAAACAGCACTCCAAATTACATATTGGAGCTTACAATGTCCAGCCCTTCTGTCAGGTTGGCCAATTGTGATATGAGGTGTGGCCACTAAAACCATTTTGCAGTAATGTCTGGCCCTATGCTGATATTGACTGATTGTGAAAACAACATTTGATAACTTTTCAGATGGTACCTGAACATCTAGAGTAAATGAAATGCTTCTTGCAGAAAAGAAACATGCTATGGTGTGAACCTGAGGTTCAACAACT